TCCAAATCCATGTCCATCCTTAGTATTAATTAGTTCATCTTCTCTGTGGCAGCTCATCCAGAGCATCACATAGATTTAAAACCAGAAAGGACTTCAGAGAATCACCTAGTTCAGATAGAAAAGCCAAGACTTAATGAGGAGTTGTCTGTGACTCAATCATAACATTACATAGCTGGTCTCAAGTAAGCAGTAGGAGTCCAAGCCTTTTTGACCTTCAACCTCACTGATCCACCCAGACCTACTGGACTGTCCTATTCAGGTCTATGTGACAAAGAGGTCTTTCTTTCTTCCTACTCCCCTGCAATAAGCCTCTTCTAAATGAACTTATCCTTGGAGCCCTTCCCTACAGGTCTGGAGCCCCTGTCAGGACTAGTCTGATCACTAACTCCATTTTATTTCCAGAAGGCCCCAAACATAATGTGGAGAGCGTGATCTCCTACCTCACTTTATCCTTGGCCAGTTTTGTGACTTTGGCCAGAACACTTTTCAGCTCTAGTCCTTAATTGCTTCATCTGTCCAGTGGGCAAGTTATTCCTGTTTCTGTCTCTCCCCTAGGACTATTGTTAGGAAAACAAAGGAGGTGTTTGACCTGGGTGGGTTAAAATGAAAAGTTGACATCTGCTTGTATATCTGCACTGCACCACTTCCAGCAATAGTCCATTCTCTGTGGTGCAAGCTGTCTTTTCGGACTTCCTGCCATTGGCCTCATTTCAGCCAATGAAATGAAGGTGCCATAAGGTCCTGCACCCATTGACTGACAGCCTTTGCATACCTGAAGGCACTGATGGAATTGTCATCTGACACCTCCTCTAGATTAATGTCCTGATCTACTTGCTGATTTGCAAGAAATTAAATTAAGAAAAGTTTATGTGAATTCACATCTTCCCCAAACAATGATAGTACTCAGCTCCAAGAGCCTTGGTGTGACTATCTCCCTCTTCCCAGAAAAATTCACACATGCACTAAATTGTGCATCCTACTCAATCCAACAGGAGGTTCTGATTCCCTTGAAAACAGCCCTAGAAATGAGAAACAAAAGAAAACCGGATAGCTCAACCAGCTATTTCTTGGTATCCCCTTTTGATTTGAGTAAAAATATGTGTCAGGCTGGGGTATAGATCAGTCTTAGAGCACCTGGGCCCTAGGTTCCACCACCAGCAGGAGGAGGAAGGGAAGGAAGAGGAGAAGGAAAGAGAGAGAGAGAGAGAAAGAGAGAGAGAGAGAGAAGAAGAAGAAGGAGGAGGATGAGGAAGAGGAGAAGAGAAGAAGAAGAAGAAGAAGAAGAAGAAGAAGAAGAAGAAGAAGAAGAAGAAGAAGAAGAAAAGAAGAAGAAAGAAGAAGAAGAAGAAGAAGAAGAAGAAGAAGAAGAAGAAGAAGAAAGAAGAAGAAGAAGAAGAAGAAGGAAGGAGGGAGGGAGGAGCGAGAGAAGGAGGAAAGAAAGAAAGGAAGGAAAGAAAGAAAGAAGGAAGGAAGAAGATGTGTGTCAATTTCAGAGATGAAATTAAAGGTTTAACCTCCTCCTGTCTCCTGACTCTTTCATAGGTTATAAAAAGTTATTTGGGTGAAAGGTGAGCCAGTAGGAGTAAAAGCTCTTCTATACTAGTTAGAGACAAACCACTTGACTTATGTAACTCATAGCTTTTGCTTTCATGGAGAAAGCATTTGGAACGCCATAACCAGATACACAGCACAGGAAATACCCTTTTATTATTCTGTACACTTATTTTTTCCATGAAGAGAACAACTTTTAAAACAAATTCGAACCAGACACAGAGATTTGCATGACACAGGAACAGCCCGTGACACAGAGAGGATACCATTGAAGCTGTCCTTAATTACACAGAAGCAGAGAGACAGAGGGACGAGGGCAGGCGTCCCACACATGACTTAACATTCACCAGTATCAGCCATGCTGCCCGTGGGCAGAGCTGCAGGTACCAGGACGACAGGGCAGGCAGAGCGTTGCCCGTCAATTCCTCAAAACAAGCCTCAGAGAAAACGGACTGGATTTCTCTTCTCAAATCCAAGTGTTTCTGACATCAACTGGAGGAATATCTGAGAAAGAGGAACTGTGTGCCTAGAAAAATGAAATTTCTGGAGGCCAGAAATCTGATATTCCTAAGCTCAATAGCTCATTGGTTATGGGATCATTCTGGAAAGTTCTGTAGCAAGTGATGTGCTTTCTTCATGGTAAATTTAACACAAGAATATGGTCATGGAGACATGTGTTGCTTATTTTTTTTAGTCTGGATAGGAGCTTTGATTAACTGATCAAATCCCTGGTTTTATAGACAAAGAATCTTGAAACCCAAAGATGTAAAGCCACTCCCCTCAGGCCACTCAGCTAAGCTGCAAACCCAGGTCTGTGCAATTGTAAATGCTATGCTTTTTCCACCACACCACACACTCTCTCTGTTCTTTTCCATTCTGTAGCTTTTGAAGGAAATAGAGACAATGTGAGTCTGGTGGGATTCTCTACTAAGAAATGACTTCTTTGGTAAGAATACTTCAGTCTTACATTTCTACAGCTAGAAGATTAAGAACAGAAGATGGTATGACAAGAGACTGGCTCTCACCTGGACAGGAACTCCCTCTGAGAGTTAAGGCAGTTTAGGGATTTTTGCTCAGCAGGATATTTGGCAAGAGTCAGGTGTTCAGTTCCCTTTCCTTGTCTCATTTGCATCTAGAGTGAAGACTAACAGGTGAATGCTAAATAACTAGACACTGAGTAGATGTCAGTATGATGGCCTTAAACAGATGTCTTACATTTCATGGAAAATAATAACTCTTTAAAAACCTGGTAAAATATCAAAAGTGCCAAGTGTCATATTACAGAACACGGGAGCACCCTGGTCTTGGGTGACCTCTGCTGTTAAAAAAAGGTCACAAAAAAGAAGTGAAGCATTACTTATGATAAAGTACATGATCCCTCTCCCTTAGGCATGGGTGGAATGGCAAACCCACATGGTCTCCCAGCACCTTCATGAGAACCTCCAAGGGCTTTCTGGCTACCCCCATCCTCCCAAGGTACCTGGGTTTGGAGACAGGACCCCCATAACCCAGATTCAGGAGCCAGCTTTGCCGCAAGACAGCACCATTGCATTGGTTTGGGGTTCATTCAGCTAGCACCACGTCTCTGATTCACCCAGGACAGTGTCTGTTGGCAGAAGGGCTGTGTGCAGGGAGCAAAGAGAAAACACCAGTCATTCTCTGATCTGTGTCAGTTCCCAGGTTTTCCAACTGTGTGCTGTCCCGCGTATCATAAAAGCCATGTAGACTCAGCTTCTGAAGTCACACTATTCAAAGAGTGATTAATTTCATAAAAGACAGGACAGAAGCTGAGCAGTTTCCTCTCTAGCTACGGTCTAGGTGGGAATGAATAACATTCTTTCCCTCTTCCCTTCTCCCAACACCCTGCTCTTCTGCTAAGCAATCCCCCTTTTCCCTTCAATGGATTTTTGAGTGCTTGGTTTTTAACGACAGCCTGGGTAGGGGAACCACACTGTGCAGGGCATTTCCCAGAGCTCTGGAATGAAAGCCAGGGATGTGATGGAGGATCTAACTTCATCACTCAGGAGCTGAGACCTTGAGCAAGAGGGACTGAAGTGCTGGACTTCATTTTCTCACTGAGAAGACAGGAGCCAGCCCTGCCACCCTCATGGGCAGTCGGGAGACAGGGGAAAGTGCTTTGTGAAAAAGAAAAAGAAAACTGCTAACATCTGGGAAGGAATTACCACTCAGGGGAAAAGCTGAAGTTGCTAGTGGGCCACAGATCTGTACCCAATTGTTCCACTCCACTGGAGTACACAGCAGCCTTGCCTTTCACAAGGCTTCAAGACACTCACCACTTGGGCTATCTTAGGCCTTGAGCTGGCCTTTTTATGTGGAAAAATCAAAAGTCTTCTGACTTTTCCTTTTTTCTCTAAAGAGAGACCCTAAGACACCAATTCAGCAGGGAAATCATGAGCTCTTAGAAGTAGACCATCTTCTTGACCCCAGTGGGTCCACTCCTAACTTCTTGCAGCATTCATCTGGCTCAGTGACATCCTGAATTTTAGGGCACTGCGCCTTCTCCATGTGCCTCCCTTTACTCCCTATGGTAGTGGAGTGGCCTCTTTGGTTTGATTGTTTGCTCAAAATACAGCAACAGGGGTTCCCACTGTTACAGTGACAATCCATAATGCTAGATTTCCAAAAAGGGCATAAGAGACTGAAAGCATGAACAGAAATCCCAATCAGATCGTGCTAACTCTCCAAACCATGAATCATTCCGCCCAAAACTGAAACTAAACCACCGCCAGAGGGCACCATTGAGAGTTTGTGTCAGAGTAAATTTGGAAATTCCCTCAACCCACCAACCTGTTCCCTCCACTCAGAAGATCCTCCCTTCTACTTGAGGGACTTGGTTGTGATCTGTTTGGTTTCACCCTGCTCTCCAAGGCGCCAGGTCTAGTCCATGAGGAGAGACAAAAGGAGGTCTCAGGACCACAGTCTGTGCTGAGGGTCCCTGGGGAGGCTCTGCTGGTGTCCATGAACAATAAACAATCACAACATCCTGTCAGGCTGCCCTTGTACACCCACCTGGCCCCATAAGGACAGAGGAGAGCCCTGTGGTGGAGACACACGTCTGGCTTTACTGGTCCTTGCCTCAATTCCAGAAAGGTCTCAGGAACCACCCATGCCTGACAGAACAAAGACCAGCACATGGCTTCAGCAGACATGGTTTGCTTGGTGGTCTCTACTACCTGTCTGACATAGATAACTTTGTGGAGGCTGATCACTGTGGTCCACCTACATTCTTCCCCTGACATTACTGCTCTAGACCATCTGAACAGAAGAAGCCAGAGAAATGTTCTAGAACACTTATACCACAAACTCAGATTAACTAGATAACTAACTAGGAGGGTTTCTGCTCAAGATCTCCCAAAATATCTACCTTCTGACTTCATCAGGGGTAAGCAAGAAAGGGAGGTTTATGTACCCCCATTTCCCATACCAAACTCAGCTTAGCTTTTGTTGGCTTTTTGGTGTCTGATCAAAGGCCCATCTTCTCTCAGATTTGGTGAAATGAGGAGTTCTTCTGTGGCCCAAAGTACAAGCTATCGTATAGGGAATTCTGCCCAAGTCATGGCCCTCAGTTCTGGCAGGCTCCCAAAGTGTTGAGACTACCCCACAGCCAGAGGGTTCCCAGAGTCATTTTCCTCCTCTCCTCCTCTTCCTCAAGGCTCACCAGTCCTCCGTGCTCACAACCCTCAAGCCAGATGAACAGAACGTGGACAAAAACCAGAGTCACAAAATCATTGGTAACTGGGAAAAGAAGAGAATCCCAAGACAGTGTCCAGGTGGGAGCAAAGCCGGTGCCTTGGACCTGGACGTTGGCACGGCAGGTTCCTCCTCCTCGAGGCCAGGTTCAGATGGCCAGCCAGTGCTGTAGCTGCAGAGAAAGATAGGCCTGTAAAATGGGCTGGGGCAGGCAGGGGGACCAAGAGGACCAAGGGTCAGCTAGGCAGGACAGCAAGAAGCAAAGAGGAGGCAGAAGAAACAGCCCCTTACAGCTCTTACAGAACTGGTGATGGGTTCTCCACTCCTCACTGAGGCCCAGAAAGTAAAAAGGAGACTTTCTGAAGAAGGAGGGGCTCACTGGAAGCCTCCTGACCCCTAACCCTGATGTTTTTAAGGGAGAAGGGTAAGACTTAGGCCAACCACATTTTACTAATAGATCTGCAGTTCTTTCTTCAAGATTAGAAACTCTCAGTGTGGTGTTGTGATTACTATGGAGGACAAATAGAACTGTGGGAAAAATAGGGCATTTAGCATCCCAGGACTCAGGAGAAGAGGGACAGGAGGAGGGTGATTGAAGAAAGAGGACAACCCTTCTCTTTCTCTACCCCAATACAACAGCCCCCTGGGCTGCAGCCCACTGAACTTTTAGGTTTTCTGACTCTGTGGTTCTGCTTGGTGCACAATAAGGTCAGCAAGGGCCAGTCCCACTCCCCACCCCATGGTCCAGGCCACATGTACCTGGAACTGCCTGACATCCCTCTGGGCCACCAGATGGTGCTCGTTCTCCGGCGTGATGCCATAAGCCAGTCTCTGTGAGGAGGGAGGAAGAAGGAGGCCTCAGTTTGGCCCAGGAGCACATTCCTAGCCAACCAGATGACACCTGCTATTTCACCCCCTGCTATTTGGATCTGAAGCCCCATATGGATCTCTAAAAGACACCTCAGTGTCAGTTTACTTTGAGTCACTCATACAGTGACTATCTGTCAAGCTGCCTACTATGCTTGGACACTGGGCTAGACCCTCAGATCTAGAGCTGAAGGATGGCCATGGTCTGTGATCTGAGAGAGCTGATGGCCCATGTAAGGGACTGGAACTGAGCAGACACACCCGGGTCATTTTAAACTAAGACTGAAGTGAGGGCCACACTGAGAGCATAGGAGGAGGCGCCTGGCCCTATATGTAATCAGGGGACCCCTGGAGTGTAGACACATTCAGGGATTCCAGCATGTGTTCCCCAGCCAATGGCTGGCCACTGGGTTATGAGAGACTCCTGTACTTTCCAAATGTGAGGGATGGAATGCTTAGGTCCTGGCTCCCATGCCCAGGATGAGCTCAACAAACACAATTCTCCCTGACACCAGTGACAGAACATCCCTGACTTTGGGACTTCACAGAAAGGATTTACATGACAAGGAGTGGGGTGGAAGGGCAGGCACAGCACGCCTGGGTACTGCTTGCCCTAAGTCTCTGCAGGGCTCCCTTTCCAACATCTTTATTGTTAGAGTTCCAATGTGAGCTCCATCCAGACAGAGACTGCATCCGGTGCCCGTAACCCTGCTGGCACAATAAATACCTTCGCGTGAGTAGTAGCTAAGTCAGCATTGGTGGTATAGTAGTGAGAATAGCCACCTTCCAAATGAGTAAAATCTTTCCTTTACAAACTAAGGATATGAGGGGAAAACTATCACCATTAGTTTATAAAAGAGAGCATTTTAAAAACCAAATAACAGGAATAACGTAATTGCAGAATAAAGGGCCCCATTTCCCGTGTGCGTGTGTGTGTGTGTGTGTGTGTGTGTGTGTGCACATGTAAAAGAACAAAATACATTTCAGAAATCTCTTGTCAACCAGATTGTTATGATCAAGAAAGCAGCAGGTAAAACCAGATGAACAGACCACAGTGGGTTTGGACAGAGAGAGATGGGACATCTGGGGACTCAAGAGACATTAGAAGAGGAACTGGGAGTGAGCCCAGTTAAGGCAGGCTTGTGTAATCAATCCTTACTGAGTCAGAGGCTGAGCCTCACCTTCACACAACATTGACAGTGGGGGCAGCAGTAGTAACGATGGGTAGCGTGCACTGAGCACCTCCTGTGAGCCTGTGCTGTGCTAAGTACTTCTTCAAAATACATAGTATTATCCTTTGGTTATAGGTGTGGAAACTGTAGCTCAGGGGGTAAATATCTTGGTCATTGAGGTGTGTGACCCTCGTGTTCTTCTGTCTTCATCTCTCTCATTCCAGCTAAAATGCTGCCTCCCATCTCACCCCCCGACAGCTGCCCAGAGCTCACCTCCCAAAGGGAGCCCCGCATGCTGAGGAACTTGAAGATGACGTAGACGGGTACCAGAACCATGGACGAGAGGGCGATGCCCCATCCAACCCAGTTGGCCCAGGGTGGGAAGACATAGTCGTCATAGGTGAGAGGCTTGAAGTTGATGATACTGACCACCACCACAAACTGGGGGGAGAGAGGAAGGGGAAGACAGAGAAGGAGGGTGGGAAGGGAAGAGACAGAAAGGGAGAAAGATTAGGAGAGGAAAGAAAGAAAGAGGCAAGAGACAGGGAAATAAGCCCAGAAAGATGAGAGAGAAAGGAAGAGCAGTAAGTGGGATGGATTGTAGGAGGAGAAAAGGAGAGAAGAGATGGAGAAAGGAAAAAGAAAGCATTCAAGAAGCAAATGGGAGCACAAAGGAGGCAAAGGCAACAGGGGACAGGAGAAGAGGAAGAACAGAAAGGAGGCTTTGGAGCCAGCACAACAGCCCCCACACACCTGGTCTGGGCTGGAGACACTACTAAGGTGGAAACCCACCAAGGTCTCAACAGGCTGAGCATCCCAAAAGTCCCCCAGTAGATCAGGGCTGCTAGATCCCAGCATCTCCTCCCACCCAATCCCCACCCTGCACACAGCCCCCCTCTTATAGGGCTCCCACCCACACACTACGCACCAGGAGGAAGGCAGGGCTGACGAACTTCCAGCACAGTCTCCAGTACAGACCTGGCCTAAACCCCATCATCTGTTGGATGTCATTGCTGAATCTGTCCACACCTGCATGCACAAGGGGCAGATCTGTCACAGTGGCTCCCACAGACCAGTCTGCCCTCCCCCTATGGCATCCTACAAAGTTCTGGCCCTAATGCACAGCATAGCAGGACAATAAGATACTGATCCCCTGGGGCTTAGGAGACCTGGGAAGGGCTGATACTGAACAAGGGAGCAGACAAACACAAGTCCAGTGTTATCCTTTATGAACCACCCCAATTAGTTTATAAAAAGTAAACCACTTAAAGAAGTGAAGGGGCCTATGCCAGTTTTCCCTGACTCCAAAGCCCAGCTCTTCCCTCTTGCTCAGTTTTGTGTGTGTGTGTGTGTGTGTGTGTGTGTGTGTGTGTGTGTGTGTGATAATGACAGCACACGTAGTGGTTTTACCCACATGTGTCTACATGGGTGCATATCTGGCTGAACCTCAGAGAAGAGCTCGGCTCCTATAATGTAGTCTTTTCAGAAAAATTAAGAACAATGCTAACATTCTGGTGTCATATCATGGGAGAAAAATGAGCAATTACAACATAGGAATAAGATTACCAGATAAAATACACAATACACAGTAAAGTTTGAATTTCAGATAAATAAGGAAAAAAAATAGGGCTAGATGTGGTGGCTCACACCTCTAATTTCACCTACTCAGAGATGAAGATCAGCACAATTTGAGGTCAGCCTGGGCAAAAAAAATAAGCTAGGGGTAGTGATTCACATCTGTATTCCCAGTTACATGAGAGACATAGATAGGAGGGTCACAGTCCAAGGCCAGTCCAGGGCAAAAAATGTGAGACCCTATCTTAAAAAAAAAACTAGAATCATGGCCGGCTCAAGTGGTACAACTCTTACCTAGAAAGCACAAGGCCCTGAATTCAAATTCCAGTATGGCCAAAAAAAATTACTATATACATATGTGGACATACTTACAGTAAAAAGTATTCACTGTTCATCTGAAATTGAAATTTAACTTGGCATCCTGGGTTTTTTTCTGTTTTCTAAATGTGGCAACCCTATACCAGAATGAGAGTCATGACTCAGGGGTTAGCAGCTTCTTATGGGTTCCTCTTCTGACACTGACACTGGGGCCTTCGGGGACTTTTGCAGTCCCTGTTGTTGTGAATATAAGCTGAGGGTAGGAAAGACTTACTCCTAATAAGAGACCTGCTCAACTCTGGAGACCTATGTGGCTCCCCTGGAAGTAGAGAGCCCTTCTGCATCACCTGGAGCAATGGGGCCAAGGCTTTGTGACCACTCACATACCATAAAACCAGGAAACTCCAATGGCTTCCATAAGCACAGCAAACAGGATGGAGGTACCCGCAGCAAAGGTGTCCAGCAGAGTCAGCACGTAAATCCCACCCTGAGGCATGGAAAGAAAGGGCCTGGGGTCATCTTTGGCTAAAAATGGCCACCATCAAATCTTACCTCCCTCTGCTCAGGCAGGTAACAGCTGTGGTGGTCTGTGTATGACCTTACATATCTGCATTCTAACCAAAGCCTCCAGGGAGGCTGCTGGCTCTCAGGGTGGGTGTTGCAGCCAGTAAAGCTTGAGGTGAGTCTCAAATGAGGACTTTGCTGCCTCTGAATCATGAAACAGTTAAAAAAATCCACATGCTAGGGACACAGTGTTAAAGAGGATAGGGACCTGATGGGGGTCTCCTATCAGTCCAGCCCCACCCATCCCAGCTCCAAGGCTGGGAATGTCCAACTTGATTGAACCACAGCCCCAGAAGCTCCAAGTAACCCCAGCCCCAGCCCCACTCACCTTGGTTATGCAAAACAGGGCCAGAAGGAAGGTGCCAATGGTGACACCAAATGTAAAGAGTTTCCGGTGTCGCTTCAGGATCTGGAAGTCATCAGCCAGTCCCGTGATGACAGCCTCCATGCCTCCCATCTAGAGGGAACCAAGTGAGTAGGGAGCAGGAATGAAGGGCTCCCTGAACCTCAGTCTCTGCAGTCCCCCTATCCCCAAACTACTTTGGACCTCCCTTGATCTGGGACTCACGCATCCACACCCTGCCTGCTGCCTGGCCTCTCTCAAGACATCATCAGGTCCTGCCTCCCTCCCCATCTTCCCTTCCTGTTCTGTCCGGATCTCAACCAAACTTAGAAACTACATGGGGATGTGAAGAGTCAACTCTTGTTAACAGGTACCTGCTTTCTGCAGCTGAGCGTGGGTGAGGACAGTTAAACTGACAGAAGGCGGAGTGAACAAAATGTATTAACTGAGTGACACATTTGCATGTAAATAGGGCCTTCTGGAAACATCTATCAAAGAAGAACTTCTAGAGATAAGAACATCACATAGATTTGTGTGTGTGTGTGTGTGTGTGTGTGTGTGATAGTACTGGGGTTTGAACTCCAGGCTTCCTGCTTGCTAGGCAGGTACTCTACCGCTTGAGCCTTTTTGCTCTGGTTATTTTATGCTTCCTGTCATTGCTGAAATAACAGGTAACACTCTCATGCCCAGCTTTTTTCCTTTGAGATGGCGTCTCTAGAACTTTTTGGCCTGGGCTAGCTTGGAACCTCCTGAGATTGAGGAGGCTCAATCTCAGCCTCCCTCGTAGTTTAGGATGACAGGTGCAAGCCTCTGTGTCCAGCTATTGGTTTGGTTGTGATGGAGTCTTGCGATTTTGCCTGGGCTGGCCTCCAACCAAAAAATTCTTCCCAATCTCAGCCTCCCAAGTAGCCAGGATTACAGGTATGAACCACTGGTACCCAGCATCACACAGCAGTTTTTGACAAGGGCTTTGGCTGCTTTTCTAATTACCAAAGTGGTCACTTCAAATCCTGGTACCTCAGAGTCTGAAAGGGTCTCACATCCCAATGCTATGGCTGCGTGTGTTCCTTGTGAGCCACTACTGTGGCACACAAGAAGCATATGTGCCCTTGTGCCTCTCCTTTCCTCCTGTAGACATTGTTAATTAACTCCAGGATTGTTCCCTAGGTTCCTGGAAGCAACATCATAAAGAAACCCTCCCAATGCACAGCTCCTGGCAGATCCTCCAATTGAAAGGCAAGACAATGAGAGAAAATCTATTGACCAGCTCTACCCTAAGATTTTATCAAACCCCCAGGTAACTGTTCAAAGGATGGATGTCAGGAAATCCAATCTTGCACAAGGGCAACGTGAAAGAATCTAAGGACCTACTGGGGTACACAATATTTTTGTTGGTTGTCAAGGATGAACTATAATGAATCAGAAAGTTAGACAAGATTCTATCCATGCTCTCTCTGAGTTGTTTCCCTAGCTGCAAGACGAGAGGGTTGGGCTGGGTTATTTGGAACCCCTACCTGATTTCCATTATCCCAATGGAGTTCCCATTGGTTCTGGACTTTGGCCTACACTTATCTATCTGAGGGAGGACTTGCTTCTTTGTTTGCATTTGAATAGGACCTTTGGAAACAACTACTAGTCAGGGTGGGAACTTCCTGCCAAGTGTATGTTGGGGCGAGCATCAGGCCTGGCAGGAGGGTGGTGTCCTGAGCAGGGTCACTCACTGAGCTGTCAAGGCCCAGAGCCAGGAGCATGACGAAAAACACAACAGCCCAGAACGTAGATCCAGACAGAGTGGAAATGGCTTCTGGATACAGGATGAACACGAGGCCAGCTCCTGTAAGAAACATCAAGGCCTTAGTAATGCTAGGACTACTGACCGGAGATGCAGGTGGTAGGGAAGCATTTGGGAACCAAGTCAGCTCAGCCAAGCCCAAGACACTTGGTCAGTCATGTGTGAGCCATGCAAACTAAGGATCTGGAGAAGACAGCTAAGCCACTGCACAGTGTAGTCTACCTGTGCTATAATTTGCATTTTAATGTCCCTCAAAGGCCTCTCCATCAAAGACTTAGCTTCCAACTTGGCACAATAGCAACATGGTGGAAACTTTAGGAGGTGGGGCCTAGTGAAAGGTCTGGTCATTGAGGGAATGCCCTTAAAAAGAACTTCCTGCTCCCTCCCCCCTCTCTGATTTTTGCATCCCAGCCATGAGATGAACAGTTTGCTCTACCACAGTGTGCTGCCTCACCTCAGGCCTAAAGCAATAAGGCCAATGGGTCATGGATGGGAACCTCCAAAACTGTGAGTCAAAGATCTTTCCCCTTTATAAGTTGATTATCTCAAGTTTTTTTTTTTCACTTGTGATAGAAAGCTGACTAATACAACCTGTGCATCAAGGAGCTTGACCTCCAACAGCCAAGCAGACAACAGTACCTTGGTTGGGCCGCTATAAGCTATATCTGAAATCCCACACCATGGGGAGGTCCACTCTGGTTCTTAGAAGCTTGTGGTCCTCAGAATACATTAGAGGCAGCCCCTCTTCAGGTCTTTGTGGCATAAGAATATAGGAGGAAGTCAAGAAGGACACAGGCTCCAAGTCTTACTGATTGGGGCCTGAATTCTGGTATCATTGCTCACTAAGCCTGAGTTTTGGTTTTCTCATCTTTAAAGTCAGTGTGATTTACACTTGTCTCATAGCCTTGGGAGGACTAATTGGAGGTGCATAGCTATGGTTTAAATAGTTTGTCCCTACCAGAACTCATATTGAGGCTTGGTCCCCAATGTAGCCATGTTGACAGATATTAGGGCCTTGAAGATATTGTTGGAGAGATTAATGCTTTTCTTGCAGGAATGCATTCTTTCTCTCTAGGTATTTGACTGGCTCTGGGGGAGTGGGTTGTTATAAACCAAACCTACCCTACATGCTTGGCTCCTTCCTTACACAGGTATTTCCCCTTCTACTTCTCTGTCATGAGTTGAGCAGTAAATGGCCCTCACCAGAAGCCTAACAAATGTTAGTGCCACACTCTGGGATCTCCAGAACAATTAACCTCTTTTAGACATAGATTACCCAGTCTCGGGTACTTTGCTATTGCAACAGAAAATGCACTGAGACATATATGTCAAGCCTTAGCATAGGGGCTGGTAAAAAGTGGGTGCTCCAAAGTTTGTTACACCTAGTCTGACTTAGAGAAAGGTCCTGTGGCACACCCAGGCCTAGGGTTGTCTGGAATGCTCACTGACAGCCTCAAGGGAGATTCCATCAAATGGGTAATTTAGAAACCTCCATTGCCAGCCTTTATAGTCTTACAGCCACAGGAGAGTTCTGCATCCAGGTAGGAGGTGGCTTACTCAGGCCCTCCTCCTTTGGCTGGGGCCAAAGTGGTCTGGTCACTCACCTTCAGTGGCAACATCCTCGATGTTGACATTGTGTTCATGGGCCATGTAACCGAGGATGGAGAAGATGGCAAACCCAGAGATGAAGCTGGTGACACAGTTGATGGTGCTGGTCAGCAGAGCATCCCTGAGGAAGAGAGGTGCTGCTAGTTCAAGTCCACCTGACTCCCACCCCCACCTCTTCCCATGGACCACTGACCATCTGTGGAATTTGAAGCATGGGCCCAGTCTCAAATGCCATCCCTTCTTTCAATTACCCTGGGTCAGTACCTGCTGGTACAGGAAGTAGGCAAACAACTTATGGATGGAATAGTTTGATACCAAACTCTGGTGTCAAACTCTTGTTGCTGAATCAATTTACCAGCTTCCTTCAACAAACCTTCCATGGCTCCCCAAGGCCTCCCAAATCCTTACTCTGATACTCAAGAGTTTTTCTAAAATGACACACCTTTTTTTTAGGCTTATTTCTCATGATCCCAATGTGCACTCTTTGGGAAAACCAAACCAGACAGCTTGCTGGTCTACAAGCATATCACCTCCCCACCTGTTCATGCTGTTCCTCACCACACAGGCCATCCATTCCAGTCCTGCCTGTCATAATCCCAACTGTCCTCCCACATACACCTCAAATTCACCTCCAGGCTCATGCTGGCATCCCATTTCCTTAACCCCCTAAAGTCTGCCCTGTTGGAATGCATTCACCCTACCCTTTCTCATACCAAAGGTATAGATTCTACCTTAAGCCTTACATGGAGTGATGAAGCCTCAAATCTGCCCATCTCTGAAGTCCTCACAGCATTGGGTCTGCAGAGGGCAGCATTAAGTGTTTCTGATTCAAGTTAGCATGGGTCTTCTGACTCCCCATCTACCCTGAGTCATACCTATGACCCATGACCCACCTCCATGATCTCCTGGCACTAGTGACCTCAACTTTTCCAGCTTGGTACCTTACATCTCAAGAAGCATCCTAGTGTGAAATGTGTTCCTCAGGATCCCGTAAGTCCTATCAGTTCACAGAATGTCCAGAACAAATCTCAAGAAGAAAATTCAGATTGTCCAAGGACAAGTGGCTTCCGGACCATTTAGGCTCATCCCTCATCCCCACGAGGACTGATCCCCAGGATTTAGAGAATTCCAGATCCCGGAGAAGCAGCTTACCTGTAACAGTTGTTGTCAAATTTGTTGTAACTGGCAAATGCAATCAAGACTCCAAATCCAGCCCCCAAGGAAAAAAATATCTGAGTTGCAGCATCAATCCATACCTGAAACCAGCAAGCAAAAACAATCACCTTCTGCTTCCTATAAAATTTCACTACCTCACTGCTTGGGTAGGGCTGGGAATCACCAGGGATGCTCTTGACCAGGAAACAGAGTCTAAAGCAGAGATGGTCTATCATGGCAACTTCCCTCCCCTGGAGACAGTCTAGGGCTCCCTGACATCTCCCAGCCTTGAGTAGTCATGAATGACTTCATCCTGGAGAATACAACGGATTACTTTAATATCCTGATTTCCAAGGAAAGTTAATAAAAGTTCTAGACTAGAATGTTGGTGAGGTAAGAGCCAAGGGTTCTAACCATTTCAGGAGTTATGCAAATGGCCTTTTCAAAAAGAAGATAGTAATTCCTACTGGATTTTACCAGCCAGCAGGCAGTGATGACCAATGGTGGCCTTGAGAGGCAAAGAGGTTGACTTACTCCATCTTTGAGGTGATGAAAGCACATGACTGAGGGCTAAAGACCTGAGTCCCTCTCCAATCTCTCTCCTTCATGGGTTAGCTATGGTCAATCTCACTCCTAATGTCTGTTTTCTCATCTGTAGAGTGGGGAGACTTACATCTAGCCCACCCAGACTAAGAACAGCAATTCAGACTTAAGGGAAGAGAGTTCTATCATTTCTCCATTTGTGTTATTCTGACTGTCCTCAATTTTGCAAACAAGGGCATAATGAGAGGAGCAATCTGCGGCCCGGGGAGGGGAGGGGTGTGCAGTAAAAGATCTCCTCACTGAAAGCATTCCAGGACATAGCTCTTATACATCTGGACCAATGCAGGGGTGGAGAGTGGGGGAAATAGCTAAACAGTGGCAGAACAAGTCTGATGTGCTTCCCAAGTTACAAGACTGACCCATGTCTTATGCTCTGTTGCCTTTCTGGCAGTTTCTAAGGAAATAGGTTTTCTCATGGTCATTGCCCAACGACATGGTGATGTGTTGGGACATTGAATGAAGGAGGGAACACATTGGGATGCACCCCTCCTAATCTCATGTTGCTGATCTTCAAATAAAATGTGAAGAAACCCTTGAGACATGTGGGAAAAAATGTTGAGGTTTTCTCATTGAGGAGACCCTGCAGGGAGAGGTTGTAAATAATCCCAGCCATTATTTGAAGATGCTCAAAGCACTGGATCTTTCCAGGACAGTCTCTGCCTCTGTCTGCATCCCACTGCCCTGGACTCCACCATCAAATTGACATCCTCCTTCAATGCAATGTGTGTCTCTGGGCAGGACAGTGAACCAGAGGAGACTGTTGGGGACCAGAGGTGTCAGGTCCAGGTCTTCCTAGTGGCAGAAGCTGCTTCTTATACTGACATCCCAGGATGGTGACAAGAGCCAAGGTTGGGAGCTAGAGAGTAGAATTAAGGCAGGGGAGGCTGGAGTAGACTAGGCTGCCATGGGCCCAAGATAGGAATGAGCTCAAGAGCATTGGTCTCCTTGCAAAGAGATACCTATGAAGAACACAAAATAAAACCACAGAAGCCCAGACCATCAGCTGGAAGGGCTCATGGAGACCACCAGAAGTAAATCTGCCTTTATCTGATAGAGAAGCTGCCATTCAGAGGGAAGGATCCTATCCAAGGTTACACCACAACCTTGGGGCAGAACTGAGACCATACTTTTCAACCACTCTCTGCCCGTGAGGACCCTTCCCCAGCCCACCCCAAGACTGGGTAGTCACCGGGCACTGACCGTGGCCTCTTTTAGGCGGTAGAAATCAATGTGCAGGTAGGCATTGATGCCATTGGAGGCACCGGGCAGCGTGACCCCGTGGACCAGGAGCACAAACAGCACGAAGTAGGGCAGCGTGGCAGTGATCCACACGACCTGGGCAATAGAAAAGCTGGTCGTGAGAGCCTCCCTCTACTTGTGGCCTGGGAAGGTGCCACATATGGGGAGAACAGAGTCCTTTCCCAGAGAGTCAGTCATGCCTCCCCCTGCTCCCTTCACCCCACACACATGCCAAAAGCTCCATCTTCAGGACAGGCCCTAAGTCAGACTCCAGGGACAGAATACTGAACAGGGCACAGACATGCCCTGGAGAAGCTCAGAACCGAGTGATCAGTCACTTGGGGAACAGGGCTGAGATGGAAGCTGAGAATGCCAAGGGCAAAGACTGGGATCTCATAGCCTCTGATACCTCTTTCTCTACAAAGCACTTCTCCTGGCCCCTTTGAGTTGCTTCGTGTAGAACTAAGCACACCCACCTTTCTGCTTTCCTGTCCCTGCCAGTCCTGCATCCATCACACCCTGGGTATTGTTGCTAAACCCAACTTACAGGCAGGATATTTAAAAACTCAAATCTCTGTTACTTCCTCTCTCTCCATACTCCTTCCACCTTGTTGCCCCTCCCCCCACCTTTATCTCTGCCTTTCTGTCTTTTTTCATTTGCTTCTATTTTTTGTTTGTTTGTTTTTTTGTTTTTTGCAGTACTGGGTTCTGAACTCAGGGCCTACACCTTGAGCCACTCAACCACCCTTTTTTTCATGATGGGTTTTTTTCAAGATAGGAGGATCTCACAGACTGTTTACCTGGGCTGGCTTCGAACCACAATCCTCCTGATTGCGCCTCCTGAGTAGCTAGGATTACAAGCATGAGCCACCAGTGCCTGACTTTGCTTTTGGTTTTTTGGGGGTTTTTTTGAGACAGGGTCTTGCTATGTTGCTATATAGTCCAGGTTGGACTCAAACTCACAATCCTCATGCCTCTACCTCTTGAGTGTTGGATTACAGGTGTGAGCCACTATGCCCACACTCCTTTTTTTTTAATCTTCATTTAAGCACATCTTCCCAAGTTCATGACCCAAGAAAGCATGTGGCTAGGCAGAAAGCAGAATCTCTTAGTGGAAACAACATATTTGTGACAAAGACAAAATATCTTGTTCAGAAACACAAAAGGGAGGAGATTATCCTCCAACTGAAAAGAGATACCCACTCCTTGCCCAGGTTGGAGGAACAGAGAAGAAAGGTGGGGCCTGGAGGGCTGTGTACTTCTTCACTGTCCTTCACACCCTTGGCTTTGGCTACATCTTGGAATACTCTTGGGAAGTTATAGACAAGAATGTTAAACTCAGTCCCCAGGCTTGGAGTTTCTGATTTAATTCATCTGGAGTGGGGCCTGAATTTCGGTATTTTTCAGAAGCTTCCCAGTGATGTCAATGTGCAGTCAAGGTTAAAAGTCATTGCTCTGGACACATGCAGCTGTGGGCTGCCTTGCAGAAAAACTATGCCTCATAGAAAATCAAGTCAAGGCCAGGAAGTCAGATCCAAAGAAGACTCAGGCAAAATATGAGAGTGTGACAACGTGGGGTATCTCTTTTTAGTCTGAAGATAGTCTCTTCACTTTCATTTTTCTAAACAAGATACTTTGTCTTTATCCCAAATATGTTCCTATGAAAGTAAGACCAGATGATTCCTCCCCCAATGCTGGGTCTTCACACATTCCTGGGGAGAAAAGGGAAGACTTGAAATGAGTGAGGGTAAAGTTCTTTGTCAGCTTGGAGAGATAGGGGCTCAAGACAAAAATTGAGATGTAGAAAGTAAAGTTATATTCTTTCCATAACTATGTTTAAAGACTGGGATTTATCCTCCTTGTTTTCTTGTTTGTCATGAGCCCCTTAGAAGGAAATTCCTATGTCTTTCAAACTTATCCAGCACCTGAAACAGATGGGTCCTTAAAAAGTGTTTGTTGGATGAATGATTGGATTGTTGTATAAATGAATATTTGACTTATTGGATAGATGGGTGGATGGATGAGTGGATGGTTGGATGTATAGTTGGGAAGATGGTTAAATGGATAGATGGGTAGTTAGATGTGTGGGTAGTTGAGTGAATGGATGCACAGATGGATGTGTAAGTGAGTGATAAAACAGATAGTTGCTCAGGTACTGAGTTACTCAAAGAATGAATGAAAGCATGAGCAAGTGAAATGAATTAGCAGGCAGTTGAGTAGAAGCATCAGCAGTGGGCATATCTGGGTTCAGAGGGAATCAGAGAAGACCCCCTTGTTTTATGCTACTTGTTTCTCCATCACTCCCTTGTTTTGTCAATGTCCTTGAGGACATGGCCTTTTGACTTCTGTTTTTCTCAGGGGATAAAACCAGGGTAGAGAAATTGCCAATAACAAAGGAGGAGAGAAATATGCCCTGGAAAGTGAAGCTGTTGCACCTGATGGTTTTTCATTGACCTTGGATTCAGTCCCCCGAACTGGGACAAATGAATCTAAGTTTTTGGCAATAGGCAGAAGGAAGAGCTGCACACATCCTTATGATGGGTCCTACTGCTATGGTCCCTTACAACTCATGTCAACAACTGCAGTCCAGCTGCACTGCCTAGCCTTGCAGGCTGGGTGTGACCATGCTCCTCCCACAAAAACAACATCTTTTGTTCTGACAGCAGGGAATCTCCCATGGGGCCTGGAAGTGGCCCTGCATTAGCCACATGCAACGTTCCAACACGGGTTCAGTTTCCCCAAGGAACACATCCGGATATGACAGACCATCAGAGAAAGGGGAGCTTGTTTTGCCCAAGTACATGTGTTCAAGTCTGAGTCATCTGTGTCTTGTTCTCAGGATTGATGGCAGATGTACATTCAGCTGCCTAAGACCTCGGTGTCGAAATGGAAGCTTCTCACTCCTGCTCATGTGTGCCTTTATGCACACTGGACAAAGAGAAGGGAAATTTGGCTCCTGTCATCTCCATCCCAGGCCCCTTTGCTCTCAGAATTTCAATTTGCAATGCATCTCTGACCCCAAGGGGCCAGACTTGGTCCAGCTTTAAGCATGAGATAAAGAAGACAACAAATAGACTGTTAGTCTTGACACATGTCCTCAGCACCCAAGAGAGGTCATTTTTTTCTATCACCTTAAACTTCTTACTCTTATGGGCAGGAATTAGTGTTTCTGTGGATAATTTGTGTGGTTTTGGATCCGAACTCAAACCAATGACCTATCATTAAACTAAGGAAGATCCTGGCCACATAAAAGGAAGAGCTTTCAGGTGATAGAGCTCTCTAATGGAAACAAGCTTCCCAGGGAGATGGTGAGGTCCCTGTCACTGAAAATGTGCAAGCTGTCCTATGAATCCAGGCATTGAGCAAAGGATAGCCTAGATCAAAGTGAGGTCCAGGAACTGTCAGCATCAGGACCCTATCAAAAATGCAAATTCTCACTCCATCCCTACTGAATAACACTCTCCAGGATGGACCAAGAATCTGACTTTTATAGAACACTCCAGGTGACCATTAGGAACACCGGAATTGAAAAAGCTCTGGTTGACCTACTGTAAGGGCTACTGTAATTCAGAGATTATGACTGCACATGCTCTATCACTGTGAAACTGCATTAATTTAACCTTTACAGACTCAGAATGCGCAATCCTCTGAACTGGGTTTCAGGAACATTTTCACAAATAATGAAGACACAGTTTTTTTACTTTTTGTTGTTGATTTTTCAAAGGGAGATTTGTGGATTGTGGAGTATGCATTGATGTGAGACTCCATCTCAAACAATGGTTGGGTATGGTAGAACATGTCTTTCATCCCCAACTATGTAGGGAAGCCCAAATAGGATTGGGGTCTAGGCCTCCGCAAGCATTAAGCAAGACCCTATCTAAGAAATAACCAACATAGAAAGGGCTGAGAGAGTGGCTCAAGTGATAGAGTGCCTGCCTAGGAAGCATGAGACCCTGAGTTCAATGCCAGAACCACCAAAAATTTAAATGGGTCATATGCAAGTGATGCTGTTTGTTATAACTGGGTCCAATCAAGTTACTAAGGCAAGACAGGACTACCCTATATTGACACAGTAATGGGAAGACTTTGCTAAAATTATGACTTGAAAATGAAAGTTACATGACTACTGTGCTATTTGAATATTCTAGAGCTCAGTTTTCCTTTGAATTGGTCTAACTTTCTTCTCAATCCCACCACCTGTGACACAATTCAGGAGGAACTCCGTCTATTCCTAGCCCCAAACACCTTAAAGGCAGGTAGTGAAATAGGCAAAGAGAAGTGACTGATCCTGGCAGGCTCTGTTGTCTTGATTGATCTACAGGCAAAGGTAATCTTGAGGTTTCTGAAGGTTTAGTCCAGTATGTAAACAGAGTGGGTGAGGACTCAGGAAACAGGCAGGCAGGACTTCAGCTTGGAGAGCACTGATTCACCCTCTATCCAAAGGTGTTCAATGGGCCAACACAGTTGTCAAAATGTGTGATCTGGAGTGACCCTTTTCCCTGATTCAGCCTCTACCACACCCCCACCATCCCAAGGGCCAGCATCTTCCCAAGGCCAGTCTTCACTTGCCAGGAGGGGAAAGATACACATTTGCAATTCATTTCAGGCCAGCTCTGTGGCTGTGGAAATCTGCTAACAAAAGCTCTGTGTCTTGTTCCAGATGTGGTCTGGGAAGAAATAAGCAAGACTCTTGGTTTTTTCATGAGCCAGTTTATAAAAACATTTAAAGGCAGGGCACAGGAAAGTCCTAAGTGACATGCCCTTCCCACGCTCTGCCTGGGGCCTCTACCTGCTCAGCTGCCACAATACTGGGGGACTTAAGCAAAGTGTAGACTGTGACTTCAGTTTGAGGCATGCAAGGGGACTCACATTCCTCACTCTTCCTGTTTCCGCCTGGGGGAGTTCCTTAGTGTAACACTCCTTTCCTGCCCTCATTACACTCCTCCTCCTCAACTTGGAAGGTGCATTTGGCAACAGGAACTGAATATTTCAGCCCTGCTTCTCTTGGCCTCTGTAGCATCAGTCTCCCTGAAGACCACTTACACCCTACTCTGGTCAAATACTATAAACTAAGTGGAGCAAGCTCTATCTACGCCTTTGGCAACAGCTGTGGGGAATTTGATCTTGGGTTACAATATTAGAAGCCTGTGGTGATCCCATACCCAGGCCAGTAGAACATCTAACTGCAGTTCACAGGGGTAAGCTGTGATTCCCCTCCAGACCTCTGCAGAGGTCAGAAGAGCCCTGCTCCCTATGGCCCAGAGAGGCAAAAAGAACACTAAACAAGGCTGGCCTGGACTTCTGCTCCCAGGCAGCTTTGCTCACAAAGTTCCTTCCATAATATCCTCTTTCTCTTTATTTCTACCTGTTTCTATCCTTACAGACCCAGCACAAATGCCATTTTCTTTATCACTCCTCAGTTTCCCACAGCCACTGAACTTCCTCCACTAATGCAGCATCTCACACTTTTTGACCATGACCCATAGGAAGAAGTAGTTTCTATCTCAAGTCAAACCACACAGACTTGTAGACTGCTATAACTGAAACAAAATTCTACAAGATGGCCCTTATTTTACTGTGTGCAATGCACTCTTATTATCTAGCCTATTTCATTTTTTAAAATTTGTGGAAACCCACTAGGTTAATTTAATCATAGTTCAAAATTTCAGTTTATATTTCTATTAAGGTATAACCTGACTACCTAATGGAATATTATTTCCAAGCTAAAATTAAGAGTAAAATTAAATAAAACAAGATTTATAATAGCATACATAGTTTGTGACCAGTTATGTTTATTTAGAGGGGGACTTCATATGTCTCTCTGGGTAGAGACTCAAGATACTGATGACATTGGCTGGCTCACAACCTGTCAGTAATGGATACAGACTCTAAGAAATTAAGAAAAATATCTATCTTATCTATTTTTGCATCAGAGTACTAGCATGAAGCCTAGCACCTGTTAGGTGGCCATGAGAAGGTTAATAAGCTGAATTGGTTTCAAAGGAACACTTAATAAACTTTCCTGAATATATTTATCCATCCCTCCTTCAATCCTTCAACTACTCCAATGGTCCTAGATTGGTTTGGCTCTGCTCCAGAATCTCTCCCAGCCCTGGTCTGCATTTTGTTTCTTTCCTTAAGGCATACACTATATCCCCAATGTGCTTATAGGAAAGTCCACCACCATTCTTGACAGATTTAATCCCCACTGACTACTGATTCCCTACCCCATCTGTGCGCTCAAAGGAATGACAAAGAACTCAAGAGAACCAGAGAGAACCCCAATGCATCGCCCTCTTTCCACAACCGTTGTTTTATGAAGTTTCTCACAAACTCAAGACTATCTGATTATGGCATATTGTTGCCTTGTAAGTCCCACCCCGACCATGAACACATAGTTCTGCTAATCCCCTACCACATGCTGTCTAGGCTTCGCCACAAGACTTGTTTTGGCCACTGGGACAATAGTAAGCATGATGCAAGTATAGACTGGAAGAACTATTACACATTGGGGCTTGTCTGCTTGGAACTTGCTTTGGGAACTCAACAGTCATGTAAAGATAGTCAAGAAAGACAAAGAAGAAACATGGAACCAAGCCAAGGTTGTCTGAATGAAAACTCCAACCTAGCTCCTAGCCAGTACCAACCACCAGCAATGGGCACACACATTCTAGAATGTTTCACCTCAGTCAAGCCCCCAGATATGTGACCCTAGCACTATTAAACAGAGCAGAAGAACCACTCTGCAGATCCTAGTCAACTTCCAGAATCGTGAGAGACAATGAAATGGATTTTATTGTAAGTCAGTACACTTTGGGTTAGTTTGTTGCATAGCAATAGCTAACCAAAACACTGGACAACTTCCTAGCTATGTCCTTTTTATTACAGTCAAGGGTCCAAGTGATGTTATTCTTCCCATGCTGTTCCTTGGGCTAAGACTCAACACAGGCCATTCCTAAGCATAGCCCATTCCTGAGCATAGCCCATTCCTGAGAGGTGACTATAACAGGCAATAGCACCCAAGTTCACAATGCCCCCTCTGTTCTGGCTATCCCAGACTTAACTCTGGGTCCTTCTTTGGTGCCCTAGATCCCTGGGGCATCAGCACTGTGTCAGAGGAAATACAAAGCCACACCACACTTCTGGATGTCATCTGCAGCATCCTCTTTTACCAAATAAATGAAGAGGGGAGGGGAGGATATATTGATTTTATAGTAAAGCAAATGGTTATATTCTGGAGTAAGATGCCAAATTTGCATGAATTATTAGATCAGTATACAAGATCAAATACTTGTCAATAGTTGCTTTAGATTTTATCCCAAGACCCTTGGGTGCTCCCAGTCCTTGGCCTCTGCTATTAGGGTAACTTTGGAATGAAAGTATGATACACTTATACCCTCACCCTGCTGTTGGAGAGACTCAGGGTTAGGGAGGAGAAAGATTTATCCACATTTGTGGCAGAACTGAGTATGGCCCCCACCTTTTCTTTTTACCAGCCATAGGGTTATGCCAAAAAAACCCCACATCTTTACAAGGTCAGCATCCCAACTGAAAGAGGACAAAAGAGACATTACCTTTCCTGATGACTTCACTCCTTTCCAGAGGCTGAAATACAGGATGATGACGACAACCAGCAGACAGAGCAGGAGTTGCCACTGGGGCAGGCCAATGTCATGAATCCCACTGCTCTCATGAAGGTGCAGGACACCACGCCTGCATGAAGGAGAGGAGAGGAGACCAGGGAAGATGGCCTCAGGGAGGATGAGTGAGGCTATAAGCATAAACAAGATCCAAGGGCACATTGATAGAAACAGGCCTCAGCTGCTCTCCCTAACTCTGGAGCGCTGGGCGCTGCCATGTATCATGTGGGCTGGCTCTGGTCAGCCATGGCTGGCACCAGGATAGCTCTGTGAAGCACCGTGGAGAGATGGTGATAAGACAGGAAAGGTGCCTACTCTCTAGAGCTCACATTCTGGGCCAGAAATTCTCAATAGGATGAGGGAGCAACTTTGCTTCCCCTCCCTAGAACCTATTTGGCAATGTCTGAGATTTTTTTTATTAATGTGCTGAAGTTGAAAATCCCTTGTCTAGAAACTGAAGCACAATAGTAAATATTTCTTCCTAGCTGAGAACATCTAATGAAGCTACAGAAACTGAAGATGTATATATTCTGTGCCCTAGCAATTCTGCTCCTAGGTTTTTACCCAATGGAAATTTGTAGTTCTGTTCACCAAAACATATGTTCCAGAATGTTCATAGCGGACTTGCTCATAACGGAAATTGCAAAGTATTTGAATATCACCCACAATAAAATGAATAAATAAACAATGCTCTATTCATAAAGTGGAGTAAATACAGAATCTACTTCCATATGCATGAGTCTCTCACACAATGCTATGTTAAAGGAGTCCAAGTCAAAAGAGCACCTTCTGTCTGATCCCATCCATGTAGTGCTCCACAACAGGCGAGATGAACCCGGGGGGTTGAAGTCAGTAAAAGCGTACCCTAGGCAAGGGACCAGGGTTACAGCCAGGGAAGAGACTCATGCAGACATTCCTGAGCTGGTCACACAGCTACGTTCAGTTTGTGATATTCATTGTACTGTCACCTGATGATGTTCACTTCTCAGTAACATCATCTATGTTATCATTCAGTAAAAAATGTGTTTATGTTTTAAACAAGGAAAATAAACAAACAGAATAAGCATTCTATAGATTTGAGAATGTACAATATACAATTAAGGGAGGCAAAACAAAATAGCAAACAAAATGACCATTTGCTAGTTAGAATCTAAGCAAAGTCTGTTAGGATCCAGGTCAGGTAAGACCAATCAATAAAACAGTAGACCAGCCCCAGGGGAGGGAAGTCTACCCCCACCCCCAAAAAAGAACCACACACACAATTCCACATCCTGGCAAGACAAAGTGAGCATAACACCCTTGTATGGCCTTTGCTCTGCCTCACGTCCTTTTCTTCTCCCTGAGGGTCTGCTATGCTGGTCCATCTGGCCTCAGACACTCAGGGAACTTCTAACACAAGAAGTAGCATAAAGTGCAAGATCACAATAAAGTAGTCTGTGCTCTTGTGTAACAGTCCATCTGAAGTGTCATTCTAACCTTGGCAAGTTTTTATTTACTTTTGTGGTGTTGGGAATTGAACCCATGGCCTTGTGTATGCTAAGCAAGTGCTCTACCACAGGGCTACAGCCCTAACACTAATCTTGGCATTCTTTTGCCCCCAAACCCTCAGAGGTCCCTATCACCTAACAGTGGTTCTTATTGGGACAATCCTTCCCACACTGTTTGGAGCTCTTTTTTTGTTATATCTGGAAGGAAGGGGGATGTTGCTGGTATCTAGTTCGTAGAAGCCAGAGATGTTCCTAAACATCCAAAGTGCACAGGACAGCATCCACCTCACCCCCACCTCCCAAGAAAGAATTGTTCAGCCCAAAATCAAGTGTCAGGGTTGTGAAATCCTGGTCCAGAGGATACAAACGTAAGCCTTTAGACTCTTTCATAATCCACCCCCTGCCAAGTTCATCTCCGATGCCTGGTCACACCCTGCCTTTTGTCATGGCAAACAGCAAGACATTTTTCTACAGTTCCCCTCCAATGCTCAATGGGCTCTGGAGCCTAGAGCACACTTCCAGCTCAATTTGTCAGCCTGCCAAGCCTTCTAGTCCCACTAGTCTTGACCTCCTAACAGACCTTCCTCTTAGAGACAGAGGGAGGGGGAGAGCGAGGGACAGGAGAAAGGGAGGGAGGCTGAGACAGAGACAGAACAAGGAAAGGGAAGAGAAGAAGATGGCTGGGCATATCCAAAGACAAAGAACATCCTGGCCCCAATTGATCCTTAATTCTGCTTCTTTTCATAGTTTTATGCTCCAAGTGTTAAGTGATATTAATTGCCATTTGACTAATTTGACTATTAAACTCATGAGAAAAGGTACCAAATTACCTGCGCTTGTCCTGAAACTTGCAGAAATGCTTCTGGTATCCAGATATGTTGGTGCACACCTGTAATCCCAGCTACTTGGGAGGAGAAGCAGTAGGATCATTGTCCAAGGCTGGCCCTGGGAAGAAGTACTAACCCTGTCTGAAAAGTAAACTAAAGCCTAGTAGGTTGGAAGTATAGCTCAAGTGGTAAAGTAGCTGCCTAGGAAGCATGAGGCCCTGAGTTCAAACCCCAGTGGCACCAGAAAAAAAATACTCTAGTGTCCAATTAGATGGCTGAAGTGCTCCATGCCAGGTCAGCCTGACCCCATGGCACCTGAAGGCCAGTTTCAGGGTGGTACTGGTTATCTAGAGATTTCATCAGTGAAAAGAACCAGACTCCAGAGCTGATTCTCAAGAAAAGGAATAAGAATTCAGGCTTCTCTGCCCAGCAGGCCCAAGTGGTAGGGGTTTGGTACAAGTAATGAGTTTACTTTAGTTTCCCAGGAATTTGAATCATCATTGGAAGTATTGTCCAGGCTTTCCGAAGCCTACGGGCCTAAAAGGCTTAATTTCTTACTTGTCATTTAAAAGTACACAGGATTAATATTAGGGTAGAGGTCACTTCCTCACCAGGAGCTGGCATGACGTAGAAGTTCTCTCTCACTGGACACAAGTCCACCAAAAGTGCCCTTTTACAGACACAGTTTAGAGCATCAAGTTTCTTTTAACTGTGGGGCTGGCTTGGCTTTAGGCCTAGAGACTAGGGAAAACAGTTTTGTTCCCTTGAATGATATTTTCAATCCATCAGCCTAGATGAGTACAAGATGGTAACAAAATTGGCCAGGAGGCTTAGGAAAGAGAAAAAAATTATCTAATCTCCTCAGGGTTGGCACTGGAAGTCCCATTTGCTGGCTCACCAGATTAAGTTGAATTGTTTTAAAGCAGAAGCATTTAGACAGAAAGGCCAAGTGCCATACAAATCCAGAGGCAGCCTGTGACCATGGTATACTCTACAAAGCACACAGGCAGGCTGAAGATGGGAAGAAATGCATGAGTAGGGCTCCTATTCTAACTGCAGAGACCCCTTATCCCAAATACACCTCACTGGGGACTCTAACAGGATAGAAGAAAAAGACAGGGGAGAGGCCTGTGCGTGGACTGGGAGCCTTGGGTCAGACAAATTGGGTTGAGATCCCATTTATGCCACATGAGCCTCCACTTTCTTATCTGTAAATTGGGAGTAATTTCTACCTTCACAAACCGTGGAGGTGAGATAGGACTTGGATGTGAACTGATGCTCAGGATCTGCTTAGGGTGGCTATGAGGGCTTGCAGGGGTCAGGGTGGAGGAATGGGTTAAGGAAGGAGATGTCTGAGGGATAGAAAGCTGTTGGAGTAAGCCCAACATTCCACTCCCCTCATTGTAGTTCCCCAACATGCACATGAGAACATCACTTCTGTCACATTTTGCCCAGAGCTGGGACTAGAGGAAGTATGGGGCTGACAAAAGTACTCAGGGCCTCCAAACCCAACTTGCCTTTCCTTTCTGCTGGGTGTCTCTTCTGGGCCAGACGTGTTGGCCATTAAAGCATTGGAGAAGGAGTCTGATATTAATGAGACTAGAGATGATGAGACTATCATTTTCCATCTTAATTGATAAGAACAGAGGTTACCAAGAACTAAAGAAGAACCATGCTTTTCCTCCATGAGAGGATAAGGGGAGAAAGGCTGTAACAAATTACATGAATCTGCAGTCCCCATGGTCCCCCACCCCTGACTGTCAACCTGTCCAAACCACACTCATAAAATAGCAAGGCTTGTAACCTCGACCCACAGCCCTCCAACTGTTTGGGAATCTTCTGAGGCCAATCCTCAGGAGAAGAATGAAGGAGGCCCCACATTTTCCATGATATGATAATGTAGAGCTGTCAGCCTGACTCCCCAAGCACTTTGTTCTGAAACAGACTACAGTGACTTAGAAAGGAGCCTTCAATGTTAGATAGATGTCAGGATTGTGGGACAAGCTTTTAGTAAAAGTCCACGTGCTCTGGCTACTCCCAGACCAGGAGATCCATGTCTCTTGGCCCAGGATCCAGGCAGCAGTGTGTTTTAGAGCTCTCCAGGTCATTTCAATGTTCAGCCAAGGTTTAGGACTACTAGGCTAAGAGCTTGGGCCTTAGAGCTAGACTGCCTGGGTTCAAAGACAGTTCAAATGCCATTTCTAAACTGAGTGACTTTGGGGAAGTCGCTGTTCTAAGCCTGTTTCCTCATTGATAAAGTAAGAACAATTTCAGACCTGAGTGGACTGGATTAAAAGATACTACTAGAAAAAGCACTTTGCACAATGTTGGGGACACCACCTGTACTGGATAAATATGAGCTGTGACTATGAAAACATCTCTGAATGGCAAACAATTACTTAAAATGTCTAGAGCCCAATAGAATATACAGGTGAAGGAGGCAAGCTGTGCAGTTTCCCTGCCTAACAAGACTAGGACTAGGATGAGGCTAACAAGACTCCTAGGTGCCCAATGAAGGTGGCTTTCATTCTCAGGAGCTTGCAAGCTACCAGGGTCCAAATCTTGGCTCAGCACAATGATAGTGATGTGGCCATGGGCTTTGCTGGTCCTCTGTGAAATGAAGCCTCCTCATGCATGTGGGGAGGATTGAGTTTCAGAAACCTCAGGATATTGGTGTGAGGCTTAAGTCAAGATAATTTGTGTAAAGAAGTTGTAGAGAACCTGATATGCATGGTAAGTGGCTAGCAGTCAATGTAACATTGAGGAAGACAGCGACCAGGGATGGTCCTGTTACTTAGAGCAAATGTCAAGCAGTAATAGTATTTATGATCCTTTGAGGGACTGTTTGAGACTTTGAAGACAACTGTGGGCTCACCTAACTTTGACTATGTCTACTGATAGTCCCTAGGAATCAGAGATGGAGGCAGGTGGATATGCAGGTACAGGACCGCTAGTCAGTTGTCTGTGATGACCACTGAGGGTAGTTCCTGGCTCCTAAGGACTCTGACTTCCCTGAGCCCTAGGAGGTGGCCAACTTTATAGAGATTACCTTTAAGCAAATGGAATCCCCTTGGTCCTGCTGCACCAAGATGGCAGGAATGGAAATGACCCTAGGATAACCCCAATCTCCAAACACTCAGGACTCATTCCCAGGTCCTTGGCTTAGGGAATCCAGAACTGAAGGGGAGTGGCCCCAATGCTTTGTTAGTTGGTGAATTTGTCTTTTCTCATGTTCTAGATCTGCACTGCCTGGCACACTCACCACTGGCCATGTGTGACTACTGGTAGGTAAATGAATTAAAATTAAACATTAATAATAATTAAATAAATACTAATAAAAATAAAATAAATATTAAATAAACAAGCAGTCAGCTCCTCAGTCACACTGGCCACATTTTACATCGTTGAGGAAGTGAGCTACTGCATTAGTCCATGCAGGTATAGAACATTTCTGTCTAATAGAACATTTTATTGGAAAATCTTGCTTCAGAACAGGAATCAAGAAATTGTGACCTCTTAAGCTGTGACCTATTTAGATCCAACCTGTGAGCTAATGTGTTTTAGCTTTTTAAAGGGCAAAATAAAGAACTCTATGCAAGAGGGACATAAGTGGCTTGGGGACTGAAAATATATATTCAGTGTTTCTTTATAGAAAGGTATGGGATCTCTGCATACCCTAAGGATGAAGCTCCTGTGAGGTGTATTTATCCCACCTCACAGCTTGGGCCCCTTACTTTATGCTTGACTACTATCATCATAGATACTGCTCAAAAAGGACTCACCCACGCCAGAGGGATCGTGACAGCAGATGCTGCCTTCTGATCACAGCACCATGCAAACATTTTAAGCTGGATGGCTAAGAAAAGCTGGCCACCCTTGTCTTCAAGGACATGGGAGGATGGAGTACAGGTTGAGAAGATTTAAGAGAGCAACAAATTCAATAAGGAGAGTTATGTCCTTTTGGTTTTTTTTTTTTTCTTTTTTTGGTGGTACTGGGGTTTGAACTCAGGACCTTGTGCTTGATAGGCAGACACACTACTACCTGAGCCACTCCACCAGCCTATAAGGATGGTTATGGATTCAAACCACAGAATAAAATAAATATTTAGGGGCCCATATCGATACAAATGAGTTACTTGACTAAATAATTTGAGGAGAAGGGACAATTCATCCTTACAGAAAAATTCCAAGCAATTAATCTAGAAAGAATGATGGAAATAGCAAATGACAATTAGACAAACACTAGAGCAGTGATTCTTACTTGTAAGAATCATCACCAATGGCTATTAGGAAATGCTGGCATTATGTAGATAGCTACATAATCTTAAAGTATCTTCCCAAAGACACTTTTTAATTACCAAAGGAAAAATACCTTCTTTGCACAGGAGGAAGCTGGCAGCCTCTACCTTCACCATGTTCAAAGTTAACATCACCAGTAATAAGACAAATTGACATCCTGTCCCCTTGACAGGGTACACTGAGAAATCTGTAGCATCATCTCTACAGAATTCTTGCCGAAAATGCACACCTCATTTTGATCATGAGGAAACAAGAGGCAATCTCAATCTGAGGAATATTTTATAGAAAAAACTGGTCAGTACCCTTTGAAAGTGTCAAGGTCATGGGAGTCAAGGAAAAACCAAAGAACTCTCATAGACTAGAGGAGACTAAGGAGATGTGACAACTAAATACCAAAATATGACATTAGCAGGGAAACTGGTGAAATTCACATGAGGTCTGTAGTAGATCAGCTAATATGATATGCATGTTTATCTTCTGGTTTCCATAAGTGTGCATTGGTGAGGTACAATATTAGCAGAGTTGGGTATCAGGTACAACTTTTCCACATATAAAATCATTCCAACATAAAAGTCTCCTTAAAAACACAATGCTCTGTCATCTATCACCAGCCAGTGCGTCTCATGTGTACATGGTCCAAATAACCTCTGAGCTGCATGTCTCTGGCCTGCTTCCCACTCTTTGATTTTGCTCACAAGCTCCAACTACTTCCTCCACATTGTAGGTCAGATGATAACTTCAGAATCATATCGACCTGAGTTCCAACTGCAGCCTCTAGATGTTGCCTTGCCTGACATCAGCTCCTATGTTGCCTCCTCACTGAAGCCTTTCTGCCAACCCCACCACTACCATCTAGCTAAAGCTCCTTTTGTCTCATGGTCAATTTCTCCTGTATATCTGATTTTAGTTCCTTAAGGGTAACGACCTTCTCCAAAGCATCCTGTTCCCTAAAGGGCATGCATCCTTTCATACCTTCTAGCTTCCTGCCCATTTGCTGGTGCATGGGTTTGCACTCCACTCTCCTCCCCTGGAGCAGAGGCTCCTGCAGCTGCTGTGTGCTGTGTATGGCTCTATCTTCAGCTACCAGTTTGGCATCGGGCTCTTACATTACAAATACTGACTGGTGCATTCCTTCTTCTTTTTTGGGAGGTGGGAGGAAGTACTGTGGTTTGAACTCAGAGCCTTGAGCTTGCTAGGCAGACACTCTGTCACTTGAGCTACATTCCCAGCCTTTTTTGCTTTAGTTTGTTTTGCAGATAAGAGTTTTGTGCTTTTGTTCAGGCCAGCCTCAGACCACAATCCCCCACCTCAGCATCTTTTTCGTTTTAACAGTAGTTCTGGGGTTTGAACACAGGGCCTTGTGCTTGGTAGAGAGGCTCTCTACTATTTGAGCCGTATACCTCTGCCTCTTGAGTAGCTGGGATTACAGGTATGTACCACTATGTTTTGTTTTTGTTGTTGTTTTGGTAGTACTGGAGTGCATTTTGCTGTACCACTTGAGCCATGGCCCTAGTTTTTTGCTCTGGTTATTTTGAAGATAGGGTCTCACATTTATGCCTAGTCTGGCCTGGACCACTACCCTTCTATTTATGCTTTTGACAGTAGCTGGGATAACAGCATGTGCCACCATGCCAAGCTTTTTTCCATTGATCTAGGGTTTCAAACTTTTTTGCCAGGACTGGCTTGGAATCACAATGCCAGATCTCAGCATCCCATGCTGCTTGGAATGACAGGTGCATGCCACCATATCCAGCTATTTGTTGAGATGGGTCTAGCTAACTTTTTGCCTCGGTTGGCCTCAAACTGTGATGTCAGCCCCCCAAGTAGTTAGGACATAGGTGTGAGCCACTGACACCTGGCTGGAACCATATCCTCTTATCTCTGCCTCCTGAGTGTCTGAGACTACATATGGTCACCAACACACAGGCCAGCATCCCCTTCTCTTTTGTTTCTTAGTGTTTGGCTCAGACATGCCAGACCTCAATATGCCCGGAATGAAGCATTCATGACTTACTCATAAAACTCTGCTGCTGGTGTGAACTTGTACTTGGAGTACTTGGTGTGGTTGCCCAGCACAGAGGCATTGAGGAGTTTGGGGTCGGTGCAGTTGGGGCTGTTCCAGGCATGACCACAGTCAGTCCAGGGCAGATTTAAGGTGAAGGAGGCGAAGAGGTAGTAGAGTGACCAGGCGATGATGACATTGTAGTAGAAGCCAACATACAGGGCGATGAGGATCACAGCATAGCCAACTCCTAGGTGGGGACAAAGGGCTCAGCTTTCCCCAGGCCCAGCCCTCGAGCCAACAACTGTGGCGAGCTGGCTCTACCACTGCCCTTCCAACCCAGACACTTCTCTTTTTCTATAGCAGATTGTTGGAACTCCACCCATATTCATATTGCCACTACCATCCTCTGCCTGGTCACTGGGCAGTCACTACCTTAGCAGAGCCTTAATGTCACATTGGTAGTTGGAGTACAAGCATCTCGGCTCCCTTGCCTCTTGGGAAGGATGACCCGGAGATGTGTTTCACATTCTCTTTCCTCCTTGTGGTGGAACTGGCATGATGACATGCCCTTTGTGGGCATCTTCCCCCTTTCCAACCGATGCTCTTAGGTCCACCTCCCCGAACAATTTCTTAGCTTAAACCTTACCTCAGGATCTGCTTCCAGGGGAGCCCCAACCAAGCCTTCCTGATCAGAACTCAGCCCAGTGTGTGCTCTGAGTCCTACCTTTGACCATCTGTTCTGTGTGCCAACATATCACCTTCCTAAATGTGTATCAGGAGCAAGTTTAAGGCTAGTTCTGTGGCTGTTGTCTAGAGTTGTTTTATTTATTTATTTTTTGCCTGCCCAGAATTGGTTTAAGAGATTAGCCCTAAGCACATCTTGGCTTATGAAGTTTAGATGAGGGAATGCCCTGCTTTCTTTGTCTAGCCATGGGCATAGGATACAGGCCTGGCCAATGGGAAGAGCACTTCTTCCCTATAGCCACAGTGATCCATCAATAGATAGTCATATAGCTCAAATCAAACCATTGAGAGTCTTCTCTGGGACCCTTAATAAAGCCATGACTATATAAAGGATTTTTTTATGTACTTTGTTACTTAGCTCTTAGTCATTGTTAATCTTGGTAGGATTTAAGCCTGTAGTTGCTGAACACCATCTTTGTTAGCAATCAACAAAACTTTATCTGGGAATGATGCTAACATGGAAGAAAACAGACACATGGAGAGAGATTCCAGACATTATTTGAGCACCTGAATCAAGCTATACTTGTGCAGATTTGAACTTTACGGTAAGATAAACCAATACATTCCCTTTGATATTTCAAGCCAGTTTGAGTTGGATTTCTGGCAATGAACAGAAAAGATGCTAATATACATGTCATGCAAGACTACTGTAGTAGCATCTACCACAGGACTGAATAAACAGAAGGTACAAAGAGACACTTGCCAGCTGAGCAGAGGCTAATGGAGTCATACTTGTCCTCATTGACAACGGTTCTCCAATGGTACTTGAGAAATACTAAGCCTTATTTCTCCCCTTCTCCTAGCTGACTAGGGGCAAAGAATGGCAGTTGTCATGCCTACTTCTGGCAGATGTGTTCTAAGTTTGAGGAAAAGTGTGTTCATCTTATATCCTAGCTGCAATTGATCCATTGTGGCTGTTGTATTAAGGGATGTAATGTCTGAGCTGGAAAAGTTCCATGCTCAATGTATCACGTCTGCCACTGGTGCAAGACAAGAGAGTAGAGGTATATGTGCTGAGTATTTCTGACATCTCTGAAAATATTTCCCATTACACTCCCTCTGGTCACTCAGCTGGTAGAGCCTGGACTGGAACCCAGGTTTAAAGCTGTGTCTGACACTCCAGTGCTCTCTGTGTAACTTCCAGTGGTGGACACACTTGACCTTGTCACTGCCTGTGAATACCAGGATTGTTCTACCTCAGAGCTCATCTTCAGGTCAGATTCCCCAGGCATTAAGAAGTTTAGGAAAAAAAGTTTAACTTCCCCCAGTCCTCTTTGCTTACCTTTGAAGAAAGGGCAGATCTTCCACACTGTGGCCGCCCCTTCTCGGTTGTACTGCCCCAGAGCCAGTTCCATGTAAAACAGAGGCATCCCAGCGATAATGAGGAACAGTGTGTATGGGATCAGAAAGGCACCTGGAGGTCACAGGAAAAGTGAGGCCATTAGACTCCTGCCCCTGAAAGTGCTTGGGTCAGAGAGAACAAGAGCTCCAAGGATCCCTATTCATCTGCTCACCTTGCCATTTCTCATGAGTGTAAGAGGTACATAGAGTTATGCAGAGCAATTAATACAAATAACAGCAGGCGTAAAATATGGGCTAAGCAAAGCTAAGCAGCTTTGTTTCTGACAGGCTTCTCCTACGGTATATGCCATGGCAGGGGTGGAGGGCGGTCACAGGAAGACTCTAGGTGCGGTCTTTACTAAGTTCATTTAAACACAGAACATTTTATGAGCCATCACTCTGGGAACGCCAATGTAACCTGAACCCCTCCTTTTATAGGCAAGATGATTGAGACGAGAGAGGGAGAGACAGTGTCTAAAGTCACACATAGTCGACTGGCTTCTGATTCTGCCTCTAATTCTATAGCTTTCCCAAACATAATCTCACTGGATTCTCAGTCTCACAACAGCCACAGACATAGGTGCAGTCAGAGTCATTTTGTCACCTACAGGCACACAGCTAAGCAGAGAAGGGAGTCAACTGTTCCTGAATGAGCTCCAAAGTGACAGAAGCAGAATTTGCACTCAGGCTTTCCAATCCATGGGGCTCACTCTGTTACAAGTGGCTGAAGGCAAAGCCCAGAGCAAGAGGCCAAAGGACCAAGTCTCTGACCAGGGAAAAATGCCCATCCATAGCGTGGCAGAATCTTGAGGAGTCCTAGGTAACCAGCAGCATGGAATCCATAGGAGAAACACTGGTGGACTTAGACACGTCTGAGTGCCAGAACCAATTCTCCACATGCCCCAGCAGACTTGGGGTGAGCTTGGTGGGCTCTGGTACTGCAAGGTGACTCACTAGGGTATAGGCCATGTCAGTCTAAGCTGCCAAGTGAGGCCAAAGCAAAATGCTAGCTCCTTTCTTACTGTAGCCAGAATAGAAAGAAACTCTTCCTGCCATTGGCTTTTACCTAATATTTTGTAACCTTGGAAACGAAACACTCTGACCCACCCAAACCAGAAAATTGGGGAAAGTGGAAACTACATAAGGGAGGTAAACAACCAATCCCAGTAGCTCACACTTGCTGAGCCTCTGTGCATTCCAGGCACTTTACATACAATGCCTCATTAGATCTTCTCAATGGATCTACAAAGCCAAGATCATCACTACCTCCATTTTACAGAAGAGAAAACTGAAGGTCCAACCTAGAAAAGAACTGTGATAAGGCATATGGTGCCCAAGGTCAAGTTTACTCAGTGATTCAGTCAGTCTCCACCTTCTCCTTAGGAAGCGTATGGCTCTCAAGAATAAAGCATGAATTGTTCTCTCCAATGCTGCCAGCCCCAGTCCCACTAAGCAGGAGTTAGCCTATGGTAGGAAATGAGGAAAACTACTAGGAATGCACACCTCCTATGTGTCAGGCAGGGATGGGTCACTGGGAACTTCCAGAAACCCTCTGAAGAAAGAACTCTGTGCCATGTTCTAAAAGAGAAATCTGAAGCTCAGAGAACTAATGGCTTGACCAAGCCCATCCATCTGGTAGGTGGTAGATCTGGGATTTGGACCCAGGCCCACCTGGTTCCAGAATTCCAGAGCTCTTCCCAATATACCCTACAGATTCCAGAGCTAGATGAAATGAAGGACATGAAGGTAAATAAGGTGTGGGAGAGGCAGGTATTCTGGGGTCTGGGACCAGCCTGAGCTGCATGGTCTTTTGGTCATAGCCTGGTCCAGCATTCCAAACCCTGCTCCAGGCTGGACTCTTTGAAATGCTGCACACAAAGGTCTTGTTTCTTCCATTTAGTCACCCTTCCCCCACTCTTACTCAGAAGGCTGGTCTAGCACCTGTCTACACATGGCCAACAGTGGTGGTGGTGACGATGGTACTGATGGAGAAGACAGTGGGGTTGCTGAAAGTCTAAAGTAACACATAATGGTATAAGCCAAGGCTTTTATATAAGTATCCTTTTCAAACCACCCTTGAGAGATAATTATCACTAAACCCATTTTATAGTGAGGAAACTGAGGCTTAGAAATGATTGTTTATACAACCTGCTATACAGTTTGTCTTCAAACCTCGATCTGTCTGAGCCCCCCTCTATCCTGTGGTCACTCGTTTCTCCCCTTTGAGGCTAGAGCTTGGGGCAGGGAGTGGGGATGAAAAATAAAGTATTAAGTGGTTCAGTAGGCCTGAAAAACTGAAGTCACTGACCAGGAACAGGGGGAAGGAAAAAGCCAAACATCACGGATATGATCTTGGCTCTAAGGTTTGCCACTGGCAACTCAATGTTCTCTTACACCACCAAGGAAGGGAAAGAACAGCATTGGCCAATTAACGGCATCTTGCTTTGGCCTATGCTCTCAACTCTAAGCCTCCAGGTGGCACTGCCAACAAACAGGTAAATTGCCCAGCTTGAGATCTATCTTCTTTCCTGCTGGTTGAGAGTCATAGAAAAGAGAGAGAGAGAGGACAGCGACAAATCTGTATGAGCCCACATCCCTCTGCAAGGAGTGGGTTTGATGTGGACCAGTTACAGCTTCACTCCATGAAAGCAGATAAAGAAAACTCAAGAGCTGAGTGTGGTGCCTCATGCTTATAATCCCAGGTATTGGGAGGCAGAGATGGGTAAATTGTGGTCAGCCTGGGCAAAAGTGCAAAATCATACCTAAAAAATAAACTAAAGCAAAAAAGGACTGGGGCATGACTCAAGTGGTAGAGTGCTTGCCTGGCAATCAAGCATGAAACCCTGACTTCAAACCCCAGTACTGCCAAAAAGAAAAAAGAATGATAAAATGTTTGAGTATGAATGAAAATTAGAAAGCTGTCCAATCAGTGCCTTATGCTAAAAGAGAATGTCATGCAGCTCGCTGGCTCCATCAACCTGCAGAAAGAAAGTGGGGCTTGGCTGAAGAGTTAGGAGGGGGCTCAGGGGTGGCCAAGATCAGCTGAGGACCCCTCTTCCTTAACAGCCCTGCAGCAGATCCTTGAAACCCAAGGTTGCAAAACTCTTGGACATCACTGTCCTGCAAGGCTCATAACTGCCACATTCTGATGGCCTTGCTGCATCTCATATGGCAATGCCAGCTGCAACCAGCCTCACAAAGGACCTGAGAATCTAAAGGCCACAACCCCAGAATCCTGTGCTGACTCTGGAATGCTCTGACTGTGTAAGTCCAGGACTCACAGAGGCAGACCTAGAAAAACACAACAGTGCATGCTTTGTGAGGGGCTTAGCTCTTGGGTGTGTCCTAAAACATGTATGCACACAAATGCATACCTGTGCATATTCATGCAATGGTAAGCCTAGACTTTTGCACATCAACACACTCAACCTCATGAGGAAAAGAACAGTGTACAGTGAAAGGAACTCTGACCAGTGGCCTTTGAATGAATTTAGTAAAAACAAAAAAGCATTTGTCTTGTCAGTGTAACTCACCCTGCCAGACATCTCACCATCAGAGGGGAGCATACTGACCACAGGGGACTTTTAGAATCTGCTATACAAGTGCCAAGTCCTCAGGAAGGGGAGTCAAGTGGTCACTAAGATTACTAAGTGGTCAGTTAGGCAGGTGGGGATGACCTCAAGAAATGAAAAGGGTGAGAACAGGCTGAGAGAAGAGTGGGGTGGTCCAGGTCTGGTGAACTGTGATGAGGTTAGGGGAGTGTGATCAAGGAAGGGCTGCAGGAAGGACAGGACAGTCCTCTGATAGCAGTCTACTGAGGACAAGATTCCTCATACTGTGAATTCTGGCCACACTCTAATATATCCAAGGAGTGGAAATGCACAGAGCTGCTCTTTGTATGCCCACAGTTCAGCTAGAGGCTGTCACTGCTTGGGCTTTCACCAGAGTCCAAGAAAATCTGAGTTAATGCCTAGGCTATCCAGGTTTGTCCCTGCTCCTCTGATACCCTAGGGATAGTACATAGAATGCAAGAGAGGGTGATATGTTACTCAGGAGACAGGACTGCCTGAAACAGTCCCACCCAACACTTGTAGGGTTGGGGTATAGGCACACAGGGAGGTCCACAGTCCTCCAGCGAGCATAGCTCAAAATATCAACTTAATCCACAACTATTAATCAAAACATGTCCTAGCTTCCTAATTAGACAAAGAGACGTTGTAATGGTTCTAAGGTGAAGTTTAAGTTTGGAATTCTGAGCTCTCAGAGCTCTAAGCTAGAACCTGGAGGCCCAGAGGAAGCCCCATTGGCTTTGACTGTCCTCATTCTCTTTAGACCTCATCCCTATCTCACGGCAGTTGGCATCCAGTGACTGATCACACCAGGACACAAAGTCCCAGGGCCCTCAGCCCTGGACAAGTCTGAGGGGCGACTCGTGGGTCAACTGAGACTTGACTGAGACTACCCAGCTGTCCAGCCTCCTCTCCTGGCCCGTGTTGCTTACTCCTCTTCCCTAAGTGGGTCTCTCTGCAGCCTCCACCCACTGTGTTCTTTGTGTCCTCTTTCTGTTCTTCTGTCTATGAGAATGAAACAAAAGAGTCTTTCCTAAAGCAATTCTTTGCACCCTTGGTGTCACATGTAGGCTCCCTCTTAGAGTCTTTGCCAGTTAAACAGCTGGCTCCCTGTGGCCATTTCTGCAGGGAAACACTCCTTCTTATAATAAACCAAGCCCAAAGCATTCAACTTTGGCAACACAAAGACTCTCTACTGGGGGTACAGCAACTATGCCAGGTGATGCTCACTCTAGCCTCCTCCTTCCCCAGACTGACAGCCTTGGGACTCTCACGGACCACTGGGGGTCCTGCCCAGTGGCTTTGAGGCTCCTGTAATTTAAGCTCATGTGAGTGGGGTATTACATCTTTGCTTCTTTCCCTGGGCTTCACTGACCAGCTAAGAGCATCTACATTACACAAATTCCTGAGGCTACAAGAGAGAATTCTGTACAAAATGATGAGAACTGGCTTTTGGGGCCCCATAAGGAATCACTCACTAACCTTCCCCTTGGGTCCCTCCAGC